TGGTGTGTGACGGGTGCCTTCCGTACAGCAAAAAGAAAGGTGAAAAACCAGTCGTGCTCTGAGGGGCGGTGTTGTAGGCGTAAGTGGCGAAGGGCAGTATGGTATCCCAATTCGTGTGGTTGGCGGCGACGTACATCGACAGCATGTCGCCGAGGGTGCGGTTAAAGCGTTCGGTCAGACCATTCGTCTGCGGGTGGTAAGCAGTAGTTTTGCGATGGACAGAATGGCACTCAGTGAGAATGGCATCGACGACTTCTGACAAGAAGACACGGCCTCGATCGCTGAGAAGCTCCTGGGGTGGACCGTGGCGCAATATAAATCGATGTAGTAGGAAGGACGCAACATCACGCGCAGTAGCCGCAGGGAGAGCAGCGGTTTCGGCGTATCGCGTTAAATGATCTACGGCGACGATGGCCCAGCGGTTGCCAGTGGACGTCAGAGGAAGTGGTCCGTACAAATCGATACCTATGCGCCCAACGGACGGTCAGGGCAAGGTAGCGGTTGCAGACCGGCTGGTGACATGTGTGCGGACGGTTTGCGGCGTTGGCAAGCGAGACAGGAGCGAACGAACTGCTGGACGTAGCGGTACAACCCGCGCCAGAAGTAGCGTTGTCTAATGCGATGGTAGGTTTTGAATACCCCAGAGTGCGCGCACTGTGGATCAGAATGGAAGGATTCACGTATCTCCGACCGCAGACTGCGGGGTATCACGAGTAGCCACTGCCGGCCATCGGCGTCGTAATTGCGTCGGTGTAGGAGGCCGTCACGAATGGCGAAATGGTGAGCTCGACGACGCAAGGCACGCGTGGATGGCGTTGCGGACGGATCAGAGAGCAAGTCGATCAGTTGGGCGATCCAATTATCCTTCGCTGTTCGGTAGCGATGATGTCAACATCAATGGCAGAAACAACAACCGAGGATACTGAGCAGAGCACGTTAGCTTCAGGCAGAGGGGAGCGCGAGAGGGCGTCGGCGTCAGCATGCTGGCGTCCGTTGCGGTAGAGGACGCGGATGTCGTAGTCTTGTAAGCGAAGAGCCCAACGGGTGAGGCGGCCTGAGAGATCCTTCAATGATGACAGCCAGCATAGTGCATGATGGTCAGTGACGACATCGAATGGGCGACCATACAAATAAGGTCGAAACTTTGTAAGAGCCCAGACGATTGCCAGGCACTCTTTTTCCGTGACGGTGTAGTTTGTCTCGGCTCTTGTGAGCGTACGGCTTGCATATGCCACAACATAATCAGGGAACCCGGGTTTGCGCTGCGCCAGGACAGCGCCGAGGCCTACACCACTGGCGTCCGTGTGCACTTCTGTTGGGGCCGTAGGGTCATAGTGGCGGAGAATGGGAGGAGACGTCAACAAGTGGCGGAGCTTCAAGAACGCGTTGTCGCACTCTGACGACCACGAATTGAGGGGCCCGTTACTTCCGAGGAGCTTCGTCAGTGGTGATATAATCGTGGCGAAGTTTCGTATAAAGCGTCGGAAGTATGAGCACAGGCCCACGAAACTACGCAGTTCTTTGACGGACGCAGGTTTTGGGAATTCGGCCACGGCCCGAAGCTTGGCTGGGTCAGGAAAAATGCCATCCTTGGACACGACGTACCCTAGGATGGTGAGTTGGCGTGCTGCAAAGCGGCACTTCTTCAGATTTAGTTGCAAGCCGGCATTGCTCACACGTGCGAAAACTTCTTTTAGACGTTGGAGATGGGTGGAGAAATCTGGAGCGAAGACAACAACGTCATCGAGGTAACACAAGCACGTGTGCCATTTCAAGTTGCGCAGTACGGTTGTCCATCATGCGCTCAAATGTCGCAGGTGCATTACACAGACCAAACGGCATGACGTTGAATTCGTACAAGCCGTCGGGTGTGATGAAGGCAGTCTTCGGTCGAGCGTCATCAGCAGGGGTACTTGCCAGTACCCCGAGCGCAGATCGAGAGAAGAAAAAAATTGGGCTCCGTGAAGGCTGTCAATTGCGTCGTCGATGCGCGGCAGTGGGTAGACATCCTTGCGAGTGATCTTATTGAGCCGTCTGTAGTCCACACAGAACCGCACAGAACCATCTTTCTTCGCAACAAGAACAACAGGAGACGCCCATGGACTGTCCGAGGGCCGAATGACGTCGCGTCGGAGCATATCGTCAACCTGCTCGTTAATTTGCCGGCGTTCAGCAGGCGACACGCGGTATGGACGTTGCCGTAATGGTGGATGGGCACCAGTGTCAATACGATGCGTAACAGTGGACGCGCGACCGAGAGAACTTCGCCCGACATCGAAAGAAGAACGGTATTCTTGCAACAGGTCTAGAAGCTGGGAACGCTGCACTGACGTAAGGTTGTCATCAATGAATGGGCCAAATACATCAGGAGATGATGGGTCAGAAGTAGAAACAGCACTGATGGTAAGTGAATCGGGACAACGCGAGTCTTCGGGTACGTCCAGGACTTGTGCGTCGTCGACTGCTTCCACTCTGCCGAGACATTCCCCTTGAACCAAGGTAACAGTGTACGGGGATGGGTTGGTCACAAAAATAGCGGCGTTGCCTTGGGTGATTTGCACGGTCGCGAAAGGTACTAGCAACCCTTTCCTCCTGGAAGCACGGTAGGATGGCGAAACAAGTGCAATTGTGTCGGAGAGACCGGTGCAGTAGACCGATACGCCCATCGTCGAGCTTGGAGGCACTATAGTATCGTCTTTCACAAGAATCTTGTTCAGTGTCGAGGGACCGTCTTCTGGCGTCAAATGCGAGAAGGGCGAGAGTTCAATTTCGGCGGCGGCACAATGAATGACGGCGTCGTTGCGGGAGAGAAAATCCCATCCCAAGATGACGTCATGAGAGCATGCAGAATGATGATGTATTGGGCGACATACAGAACGTCCTGAACGACAACGCGAGCTGTGCAGCCTGCTGTAGGATTAATACGATGTGAGCTAGCGGTACGAAGGGACAGTCCAGAAATCGGCGTCGTCACTTTTCGAAGCAAGCGGCAAAGGTTTTCGCTCATAACTGATACCGCAGCTCCAGTGTCAATAAGAGCAGATGCATGAACACCGTCCACAAGCACGTCAATGACATTAGATGGGCGGCTCTGAGGGCTTTCACAATGCGATAGCGTCGCAGTCCTTGCCTCTGGGACTGCGACGACTAGTTTTCCCACTCATGAGCAGAAGAACTTGGCCGCATGTGGGACAGAGACCGACGTCGTGGAGACGGCGACCTTCGAGCAGACGGACCTGGGCGAGACGACAGTGGCACAGACGGCAGTTCCTCGTTATACGAACGGCTAAGGTGGCCAGCAACAGGAGAAGTGGGAGCCGGCTGTAGTCGAGAGCAATAACGGGCTACGTGACCGGCGTAACCGCAAGCAAAGCAGATGGCCGGTTGTCGGGTGTGCGCCATCGGTTTGCCGGGGTGGGTCTCGCCCGGAACGGTGTCTGGAAAGGCTGCATGGTGGGCTGAAAATGAGGCTGAGGGGTTGCGCCAACATATGCAGCCGGCATACCCGCTGCAAAGGACGGAGGTCGTGCGGCAGCTTCGGCGTAAGTCACTGGTGCAGGCGCTTGAACGACTGGAGGTGGCCTTGCGACCACTTGGGCGTAACTTGGGGGTGCAGGGGCCGGAAGTTGTTGTGGGTGGTACGCAGGCATGACCTCCGCTATTTCCTGCTCAATCGCTCGGCGGATGGGTGGAAGAATGGTAGGGGCCGATTGTTGAGCAGCCGGTGGGTGGGCAAAGGGCAGGAGAGAGAACTGCCGCGCGATTTCCTCACGTATGAAGGACTTGAGATCTGCCAGCAGTGCCACCTGATCACAGCTCGCTTCCAAGCCTGCAAGCCCTGCATCTCGTGATGTGGAAGCGACGGGTCATCGAACGCTGCCGGCGGAGCTCCTCGTAGCTCTGGCACAGCGTGATGACCTCAGCTACTGTGCCTGGGTTTTTGGCAAGCAGCATCGTGAAGGCATCATCGTCAATGCCCTTCATGACGTTCCGGATCTTGTCTGATTCGGACATGCTGTCGTTCGACTTCTTGCACAAGTCCAGGACATCTTCAATGTAACTGGTGAATGACTCACCGGCCTGCTGAGCGCGTTCGCGTAAGTGCTGCTCGGCTTGCAGCTTGCGAACGGCAGGGCGGCCAGAAACGTTGGTGATAGCAGTCTTGAAACCGGACCAGGTTGCAAACTCGGACGCGTGGTTGGTGTACCACAAACTTGCAACGCCCGCAAGGTAGAACACCAAGTTTGTCAACTTGCCGTCCTCGTCCCATTTGTTGGGGACGCTCACGCGCTCGTAAATGGCGAGCCAGTCCTCCACGTCAGTGCCATCGGCGCCCGTGAAGATGGGTGGATCGCGGATCCTGGGGACACCGGGACATGGGGGTGGCATGGGAGGAGGCGTTTGCTGAGAGGCGTCGTGGGACATGGTAGATTGCAGCGTACGTGAGCGTAGTTCCAAGGGCATCGAAAGGGATCGTAGCACTCTCCAAAAATTTTTTATGGCGTTTATTAGCCGGCACACAGCGAGTCTACACAATGGCGACAGTAACGGTCAAAACACGGGGTCTCCGCGCGAGCGGCGGTCTCTTTGGGCAGACCCACTAGAAAGCACATAAGAGTTCGACCCACTTCAGTGTTCGGCGGCTTCTGTACAATATATATATATATATATATATATATATATATATATATATATATATACATATATATATATAGAGAGAGAGAGAGAGAGAGAGAGATATTGTTTGCCAGTGAAAAGCTAACACTGTTGTTCGAGATCAACGATGAAGCCGTAGTGGTTTTATGCTACTTTAAACAAGCACTTTGATATCCATTTTGAGGTGCGACCTCTCAGTGGCGTATCATTGCAGCGTTGTATCACGGGAAGGCTTCTCGAGACTTAAAAGTGGTTGATCCGTCCCAAGCTGGTGTTGCACGTAAAACAACGATCAGTGAATTGTTGTCCAGTGGTCCCAACAGTGATTCTTTCTTTTCTTCCAGGAACTATACGCATACTGCCTGAAGTCAAGAGTATCAATGATGAAATCGCCGTTCTTAAAAGTAAAGGTATTAATGTATTTTTCTTAATCAGTCACGTTGGCTTCGACGTGGACAAAAAAATTGCGGAAGAATGCCCTGATCTGGACCTCATCGTCGGAGGACACACAAACACATTTCTTTATACAGGTATTGCTGCTTTAGCATTGCTCTTGTTTATGTTAGTGTAATAAACCCATAAACTTCAATACAAATAATAAATCTTGCATGTGCAGCCATTGTTCCTATCCATATGGCAGTAGCCAGCTTGCTTTCTGCCTCTTTTGCGTGTGTCCTAGTGTATCTGTGTGTATCCTATTCTTAGAATTTGGGAAAACACATTTCTACGAAACCTTTTCTGCTGTAGTTCACCGCAATAAAGTTCGCAATTCTCCGACAATTAGCAGTCGGGTGTTTTTCAGTCACTTTGCATTCTGAAGTGTTTTTCGTTAGACTCACGTAGGACGTGTAACCAGCAAATGGGGCTCTCAACGCAGATGAATTCATACGCGCGTATCGTTTTATTGCGTCTAACCAAGGAAACTCTGATGCCCCGTGCGTTTACTATGGCAACCATGCGATATGTTGAGTATGTTGCTATATCTCACCGACTGTCATTTGAAAAGCGCCTTTGCCAATTACGGAATTTCGTTTCATAATTATTTTTGTTTTCTTGGGACTCGCTGATGACCTGGATAACCTGGTCCGTGCGTGTAATTTCTTCAGGTCGTCCTTCAAAAATGATTACATAGTGTCGATTTTTAGAAGCTTTTCTAGGATTTCAGAGGCTTTTGGTATGGTTCCTATCATGCTGTGTGAAAGTTGCTTTTCTGCTCCAATTGTTTCTTTCCAGTGATCCTAGTCACTACACTACAGCTTAGTACTACAAATAGTGTCCCCTTAAGCTTTGCCTGGCCTCGTTATGTGCTACTTTCATTAGGTCAGAGCTTACTGAGTATTTTCATAACGTGAAAGGAGGTGTTGTTCATATTCTTCAGGTTGTCAACTCACGCGAATAGAAGTATTAGCTTTGACCATTCAGTATTTGAAGCTTACGCCATTTGAAAAGCAAACTTTGTGGCAATGTGATACTTTCCAACGAAGATTCTACTTTTAAACGGAGAAGTGAGCTGTATTACGAATGTCGTTTTCATAACATTTTCACGTTACCTCCTTATAAATTGCAAGGTGTTAGTATGAACATTCCGGTTCTAGGCATCACCACAGCAAGCTTAGAGCTCCTTGCTTTATAATTTGTTTTGATTTACGTCATAGTTACTACAACGTAGTCAAAAAGACAAAGTAATGGCTCCTACGCTACGTACTACAACGCAGTCAAAAAGACAAAGTAATGGCCACTATGCTACGTTTGCCTTCATTTTTTGTTCGCTTCATTAAATTGCCCAGCAAAGAAACGAGGCCCCTCAAACTATTCCCTTCCTTTCATTGTGCTGATTCCATTCTGCTCATTTCATGCCTCTATGGAATGGCAAGCGCAGGTGTGAATAGTTTACATTTATTTCATTCGAAATCGGTATGGTAAGTCTCAATTCATTAAATGTGTATAATTTGTATATGTAGTTCATAGCCGTATATATACATTTTTTAACAGGAACACCGCCAGTTGACGACAAAGTGGAAGGACCTTACCCTTACGTACATAGACGACCGGACAACAGCGTCTGTCTTATTGTGCAAGCATACCGTTTCGGAAAATACCTGGGTTTTCTTCAACTTGAGGTAGATTCAACAGGGAGAGTACGGAAATGGGATGGTAACCCTATTTTGCTTTCCCAAGCGGTTCCTGAAGGTTAGGCTTCTTTCATTATTTCGATTTTTGCAAAAGCTTAGTAAGCAGATAATAATCCTTGTGCTATTTCCTTTTCCTCGTTTCATAGGGAGGGTCACTTCTTGACACACTTGACACCATCAAGCTTGTCGCGTTGTAGCTTTAGTATGACAAACGATAACACCGTTTCACGTGTATCCACGTTAGTGGTACATCTCCATCCCGAAGATTAACACCTATGATCATTTTTAACCAGTCTACTATTAGTATTTAAACACTGACTAAAGTTATTAACATGTATACCTGAATAGAACATATCGTGAACCCCACGCAAAGGTTGCATCAAGGAGTACATAAAAAAGTAACACTTTTGCCTTGTGGCAGAACTGTGGCTTCTTATGGGCTTGTTGATGCGTACAGAGGTGACCCTTCACGTGGAAGCTGGTTCGAAGCATGTCCCACGTCGTCATAGTGGCTCCCTGTTCTTGAAACAGGTACTAGTGCTTCATTCCAGTGTGAAAGTACATAAACCGCAACTTGTCGTTGAAACCCGCTGTCCTTTTTACGACTCCAGCCACGTCTCTGAGTGCGCATATGGTGAACCCCGATAGACTGACTTGACTGCTGCACCACGATCATTGGTGGTGGTGGCACTTTGGTTGTCATCGTTGCCGTTCATGTGGTCATGGTCATAGAGTTTTTTTTTAATTAACTAGAGGGGACTCTGGTGCTGCGATCGTTCAGCGACCATGGGAATTGTGGGTAGTACACAGATTTGCCTAGTCTTCGTACTTGCGGGCGGCGAATCGCACTCATGGCCTCGTTTATTTCTGTGTTTCTGTTTTGTTTCGAAAGAAAGAATGAACCCTTTTGAACTTCGTGACCAGGTTTGGAAAAGTAAGCTTAAGAAAATAAGATGGTGAAGCACAACCGCTGAAAATCTGCTGATTTTTGTTTCGTCAGAGAGAGAGAAGGAATGTAGGAAAGGTAGGGAGGTTAACTAGACTATGCGTCCAGTTTGCTACTCTACACATGGGGAGGGGGAGAGGGGAGTAAAAGAGAGAGAGAAGGATAGACACATGTCACATCACACACACAATGCCGAGTTTCACAGGCGGTCCCTCAATGAAGTTGCTGTCAAGTATCTCAGGAGGGCTCGTGTGGCTTTCTGTGCTGATGTGCTGCGCGACCAGGCTCCTAAGATCTTTGCTTCATTAAATGGCCGGTCATCTTAAGTCATTACTCCAGAAACAACTGTCATCCAAGATTTCTCGACGTGACGCTACAATGCTGTGCCGGCTGTGGACTGGGGTAGCGTTTACTAAGTCATTCAGCCATCGCATTGGCATGGTGGATTCATCCATGTGTGAAAGCTGCAACTGTATAGAGACTATTGAACATCTCTTGTGCCACTGTGCCCAATTTGATGAAGATCGCCGGACTCTCCAGTGTGCCTTGAATAGACTCGATGACCGGCCATTTGTTTCGTCAGAAAACTGCTACAAGTCACAGGAACGCACACGGAGTCAGAAGCAGGCCAGAAGTACAAAAATTAGACAAATTTGTGTACTATACCCATCATTCCCTTGCTCGCCGAAGCACCGTGCGTTTCAGCAACACTAACGGCAGAGTCCTCTCTACTGCATATTAGAAAAGCCGATGCTTTTCTCGAATATTAGAGGCTAGAAGCCCGGGCTCTGCAGGTGGCAGGCATTTCTGCCTGCAACTTCATCAGTGATCGGGGCAGGTGTCAATGATTTCTCGAAAACGTGGGTCTTGCTCGTGGTTGCAGGGAAGTATTGTGGTTGACACGTCGGAATCAAAATTACGCTATGACCCGAACGGAAGATGGTGTAAACGGAATTATGTGCGTTAACTTAGCCCTAAACTATCGGTTTATATCCGTGAGTACCGTGTAGTATATGATAAGAAGGAGTGGGAAAGAACAGTGAGAATGAAGAGGACTGATCTGAGAGGAGAGGATAAGGAATATATAGTCATTGTATCAAATAAAGGCTGGGAAAGGCTAGTCAGTATAAGAAAGAGGGTAAGGCCACCAACTCCGCTGCTTCCTCAGTCTTTGCACCACTAGAGCGTGACTGTCCCGTTGATTTTTTTTTTTTGTCAGAAGCACTCGTTTGTTACGTGAAAGGTACATATTTAGTACAGGGCTTAAAGCTGAATGTCAGTATAGGTGCGAAGATGCATCTGTTCCCCACGGAGCTTGTCGAGAGCACTGCTATTTTTTACACTGTCAGTGTAGATACAAACAAAGTTTGCAGAATAGTTCACAAATACTACTTTAGCTAGAAGTATAAAGACCAAATATACAGATCCCGACAAAAGCTATGCAATTAGAAAATAAGAACAAATGTCATTGCATACATGACAGGAACAATGGGCAATATTTTTTTCTGTTTCGAAATATACTCAGTGTTGTTTTTATTGCTGATACGACTGTCGTCTGGCTACCCCCGGCCACCACTTGAGATCAAGCAGATGTTCTCAACCCCCGAAAAAAATTTTTTCTCCCTATGCCGCTGTGATTATGATTATATGTATTTCAAGTTTTGAGAAACTCCACGTGTGTTACACGTACCCGTTTTGATCAATAATTTCTACAAATAATACGTGCCCTTGTCCAAGGTCCCCGATCACCACCAACAAGAAAATTACTTTCTTTGCGGGAAGTTTTCCACCAATGTGGAATGCAGGAAGTAAATAAACTCTAACTAAGAAATGTGTAAAGCGATTGCTTTCATTGCTAAGGACACTGCATAACTAGGTTGTTTTTTTTTTGTTGTTGTTCCAACAGATCAAGCCATAGTGGACTATTTATGGCCATATAAAAAGAAAGTTGAAAAAGCCGTCGAAAAACCCGTTGGCTCAACTAAAGTGCTGTTGGAGGCTGACAACAAAGTATGCCGATACAGAGAATGTAATTCAGCAAATCTTATGGCCGATGCTTTTCTCGACTACTATGCGAACCGAAACAGCACGGTGCCTGGAGCCTGGTCCATCGTAAACGCCGCCGTCATCAATGGAGGCAGTGCTAAGAGCTCAATCCCACAGAAATGTGAGTATTGTCAAGGTAGATGGATTATGTTAGATTTCCAGTTAGTGAAACAATTGACATAATTAACGCCTCAACCCTTGTTCACGAGGCCTACGTTCATTTTGATTTTCGCCCCGCCGCGGTGGTCTATGTGGCTAACTTGTACTCGGCTGCTGAACCGCAGGTGTCGGGATTGAATCCCGGTTGCGGTGGCTGCATTTTAAATGGAGGTGAAAACGCAGTAGGCCCGTGTGCACACAATTGGGTGCACGTTAAAGAAATGCAGGCGGTCAACATTTCCGGAGCCCTTCACTACGGCGTCTCTGATAATCATGTAGCGGTTTTGGGATGTTAAACCTCTCATATCAGCCAATTATTTTGACTTTCATGTCATTTTTGAACATATCTGCTGCAAGTTACTGGCCCTAAAAACATCAGCGTTAATTTTTTACACATTTTTAGACGATGTGAAAACGTATCCACATATGAAACTACCTCAAACCTCTATCAGTTTTGACAGGTTTACTATAGGGCATCTTTTTCTTTTTTCATTTGCAAAACCTTTTGTGCAGCCAACACCAAAACGTTGACCGGAAAGCCCGCATTTTCAACGCAGGTACTTTTTTTTGAAAAAATAAAAAATAAAACACATGGTTTTTATGTGGTAAAATGGCTTACAGCTGAATTCATGTCAACAATACCTGGTTTTACTATGTTAGAAAGCGAAGACTAACAATTCCAAATTGGTTTCCCTAAAGTGATAGAGTAAGACTAGCATAAGTGATTCGTATAAAAAGATAGCTACACATTAGAAACTGCTCTATGTTTTCTTGCGGAACGCCATGCACTATACGCTGTCCACGCCCTTTTTGCTCGCATATTTATATAATCTTTGCCCATTTTTCTTTCATGGAAGCAGAATTGAATCGGAAAAGCCTTTGTTACGCTTTAAAGAGGGATGCACACTTGTATAGAACGCTACCATGTACCGGTTAATAAATGCGACGCATTTCTTTGCGCACTGCGCATTCACCTTTGGCGTCTGTCTGTCTGTCTGTCTGTCTGTCTGTCTGTCTAACTGTCCGTCCATCCGGCCTTCCGTCCGCTTACATCTTCGTGCTCTCGTGATGAACCCTTTAAATTGGCATGAAGCAAAATTAGTACGTGAGGGTAATATGGTTTGATAACTATGACGTGCTGGTCAAGACATGAATAATGTCACAATACCATTGCGTACATCCCTAAACACTTCCCGCCAGACAGTGGCACATCCCCGCGGGCGGGCATGTGCCACTGGTATGCGGGTATGTTCCACAGGTGATCGACACATAGTATCTACCCAAGCACGACCACAACACACATAGCCAATTTTAACGCGTGAGCGTTAAGAAAAACCTGACATCGGCAACGTTGACATGAAGAATGCAAAGAATAAACGTCATGATCCCAGCAGGAATCGAAGCCAGGCATTCTGTGTGGCATTCAAGCATTTTACCTCAGAGCCACGCTAGATCTCAGAACTATACTTTTCAAATAGGCCCCAATGTTCGTGAAACTTCAACTGTGGTTGCAGTGCTGGCTATCCAGTTTTATAAACATTGCATATGTGTACTACTTTGATGCAGCCGTCATGTCAGGATAACGCGAATTGTAGTTAGGCGCCATTCGCTGGAGTTTATTCATGTAGCAGTGTCCACGGCTACCCCCCTTGCGAGCACCAGCGCTTCATATTAGCATATTGGTCGATATAGCTAATATTCATGCTTCTGTTGGCATTGTTGCGCAAATGCAAAGAACTTTTCATATAAATATCTGCAACTCTTCACAATATGTCTGTGTGTGCAACATTTATACATACTTTTAGTGTCATTTCATGACGTGCCACTCATTAAAAAACATGGCAATATGATAAACTTGCCTCCACATGCTTCACATATCGTCGATTCCTTGGGTGCGGGGATCTGCCGCATTTTTCATATATGTCAAGCGTTGAATGCATGACCACTGGAGGCACCTGTATTATGATGCAATGTTTGGCTAACTTTTGTTTCCTTCATTCACAATTAAACAAATTGTCACATTCCTATATTACTACTTTTTCACCATGCAAACTTGTCCTTTTAGGGAACGTACTTCTGGGTGACCTAATTAGTCTCATGCCATACGACAACGAACTCGTGCTCCTTAATATAAGCGGATACGATCTCCTGCATATGTTTGAGCATGGCGTCGCCAAGTTTACTTGGCACCCCGACTTGGAAGGAAGATTTCTTCAAGTATCTGGTAAGTGTATGATGAAAGAAATGCCTACAGAAACTTCGAGAAATAATAATACCAGCCGCGCTAAGCTTCGCCAAAGTTGGTGGAAGTTTCTGTCAGTCGGTATCACCATCACATTGATCTAAAAGGGTGTGTATCACGAAATGATTATAGCGGGTGGCATGAACGCTTACGGCACTTGTGCGTGATACTGTCCTGTTTTCAGTTTCTCGCTCTCATTATTCCGCCGAGTATGCAAAATATGGTCTTTGGTGGGCATGTTACATTATAGGTAGTGAAGCGATGCAAATGGAAATTAATAACCATCAGCGTTATAGACGGTGAAGCGTGTGTGTTTTTAAGTGTGCAGCCCTATAGGTACCGGGGCTGTCGTTTGTTGACGCATCTAGCACGGTCGGCGTACATGCAGGCAAAATGGCGCATGACGTAGCCGTCTGTCACATACTAAGCGTGCGCTCGCGCCGATAAATCTTTTTTTTTTTCATCTTGTTCTTCAATGGTCTTGATGATGGTATTATTAAAGGCAGCGCACTTTTAAAAACCGAGCTGTCGTAGGCTGTCGTCTCATGCCGTACCGCAGGTGGAACTAGGAAGAAGATTGGAAAGAAAATGAAGTGGGCCAGAAATAGAAAGATGAACAAAAGCAAAAAAAAGAAATAAATAGAAATAAAGAGAAGTAAAAAGAAAAAAATAGAAATGAATAGAAAGAAAGAGAAGTAAAAAGAGAAAATTAGAAAATAAAGAAAGGAAGACAGGAAGCAAGCATCAAAGAAAGAGAAAACCGTGCAGAAACAAAGAAGGCTGCCCATCTCCGCTGTCTTCGCGCGTTGCACTAATAGTGGGAAGCTGCCTCACGTACAGTCGCACTCAATATAACTTGCAAAATAGCAGCGCGAGGCCTCGCGAGTTCCGAGGTTGCGCAAGACTTCCGCTAGCCCTTAGTTTCATTTACTAAATGCCTGTCTCTCACTTGGGTGGGATCCCAAATGAGAGAGTAACATAGTTGATGAAATAAAAAACAACTTGAAACCATGCGAAACCTTTAGAGTCGTAAGGCTGCGTGATCTCATGTTACAAGTCATATATTGAGCACGCATGTAGGCGCTATAGAAGACAAGAAGCATGGTCTCGTGTATTTTTTTAGAACAGCGTAGGTTGCCAAAAGGTACCTAGCCAAGTCAGGGACAGCTAGGTACCCAGCAGCCCTGCCGTGACTGAGCCTTGCACGATCCAGCGCAAGCTGAGCTAACTTATTTGTCTAAGGTAAGTCTAAGCTAAGGTGACTTTGAGCGTATCGAGGGAGCTTCGGTGAGCGTAGCGAGCTTCGGTGACTTTGAGCGTATCGGTGACTTTGAGCGTATCGAGCGAGCTTCGGTGACTTTGAGCGAGAATTCGTGGCCAACGGCTCCCACGGCTAAGTTCTGCTCTCGCTGTTTTAGATACCATTGCCTCGTGCCGCTGATTGCTGTCCGGTCGCTCTCGTCACCGAGAATCGGGGCCGCTTCATTCCGTTCCTGCATCATCGATGTTCCCCTGATTCCATCCACTGACGTCCCAAAAAGAGCAGCGCCACCGTGGGCTACAAAAAGAGTACCGGCCATCAACTCTCTGGGATTCGCGGGCAACGGCTCCCACGGCTAAGTTCTGCTCTCGCTGTTTTAGGCATGTAGTTTGGCACACGTTGCTGCTTTATACGTTCCCTCGAGTGTATGGCCGGTGATCCTACTCGGTTGTATCTTTTTTTTGCTTTTTTTTGGAAGTGTGATCGGTGTTGACCTATCGCGTGAAAATTGGCTCATTTGTTCCTTGCCGGCAACCTAGGAAGTCCCGCAATGCTCGCTTTAGCTTTGCCTCCGCTTTTGTTAGATCCCTGTGCCCTAGACCAATCTTCCTGCTTCTAGGTTCGGTTATTTCACTCATTCTGCTCTGCTGTGGTGACGTGGAATCTAACCCTGGTCCTAAGATCAATGATGTTCTCGATCTAATGAAAGACTTTCACGATGAAACCACAGCTACTTTGACCACGATGAAACAGTCAATCAATAGTATTAATTCAAGACTCTGTGCAATAGAAAATAACCTGAGTAAAATGTCACAAATTGAATCAAAGTGTGAGAATGTAGGCGACTCTGTGCGCGAAGTGAAGACAAGCATCACAAAGGTAAACGATGACTTATTTGACGTAGTTGATGATATCAATAACAGAATGCGAGGGAACAACTTGATTGTCAAGGGCATAGCCGAAACAGAAAAAGAGGGGTACGGAGAGTCGGAAACAATCGTGAAAGAATTCTTTGCAACTCACCTAGACGTACAAACCGGGGACGTCGAACGCGCTCACCGATTGGGTCAGCGGCGTGCGAACGTCGACCGGCCCATAATCGTAAAATTTCTCCACTTTAAATAAAAAATGGATGTTTTACGCCATACCCCTAAACTTAAAAAGCTAGAAAAGCCGAAAGTCTGGCTCGACGAAGATTTCTCCACTAAAGTACAATTGGCGCGCAAAAAGCTTCGGGACTTTGTCAAAGCTACTCGCAATGATAACGAAAGCTATTCACTCCATTTCAACCTCCTTTACTTCCGTAAAAACTCTTATAGGTATGAATCTAGCACGCCCCGCCGCGGTGGTCTAGTGGCTAAAGTACTCGGCTGCTGACCCGCAGGGCGCGGGTTCGAATCCCGGCTGCGGCGGCTGCATTTCCGATGGAGGCGGAAATGTTGTAGGCCCGTGTGCTCAGATTTGGGTGCACGTTAAAGAACCCCAGGTGGTCTAAATTTCCGGAGCCCTCCACTACGGCGTCTCTCATAATCATATAGTGGTTTTGGGACGTTAAACCCCACATATCAATCATTATGAATCTAGCACAGATAGTATCGTCCAAATACCCGCCAGATACCGAAATTACGCAAATAATACTACGGGGGAACAGAACAGCGCAGGCGTGGCCACAAACTATGGACCTGTAATGGCTTGACACAATGTATCCGCCGACCATCATCCGCTAAGAAATCAACTGCGAATAAAAAGCTATCAATAACCCTTGCGAATTTTCGCAGTATATATAGCAAACTTGACGAACTTAAAGCCCTTATGCACACGTGCAATGCTGATGTTATTCTTGGCACGGAGACGTGGCTAAATTTTGACACGGAAAACAGTGAACTTGGCTTCCCTGCGCAGTACACAATATTTCGACAAGACAGAGCCACTCGTCATGGTGGAGGGATGATTATTGCCATTAGAAAAGAATTTCGTCCTTCAGTCATAGTCTACGACTCGCCCCTTGAATTTACGTGGGTTGCGGCACGCTTGGGGCATGTACCGTGCGTCATAGGCGTGTGCTACAGACCTCCCGATAGTGGCCCAGAGTTCATTGAACACCAGAATGATTTCATTGATTATGTCTTAAACAAGCACCCAAACTCTGTTGCGATTATTGGAGGGGACTTCAATTACCTCGACATAGACTGGTCCTCTTCCACTGTTAGCTAAGCTAGCCGTCGTCAAGAAAGCCTTAACTTCATAAACCTAGCACATTTGCACAACATGTCCCAGCTCGTGACGGAACCAACACACGGAAACAACATATTCGACCTAATACTCACTAACCAACCTGATGATGCACTTACTCATGTCCTGGAGGAAACCAGCGATCACCGCGCCGTACATTGCTCCTTATCTATCCCACTGCCCGATAAAACCATAATGGACAAGCACATACTCAATTATGCATGCACCAATGTCGAGAAAATGAATCATATGCTGGAAGAGTTTACACCCCAGTTCGAAGCCAGCTTTGCAAATTGCACTGCAAATGAAAACTGCACGGATTAAATCTCGTGGCATATTAAAACAAATCGAAGATAGTTGCGTACCAAAAATGGCTATTACATCAAACAAAAACGATCCGTGGTTCAAACAGGATGTGAAAAGAAGTCTTAATAAAAAGAAGCGTTCATTTAGGAAGGCGTCTCGAACAAAATTGACAGTAGACTGGGATAACTATAGGAATGTATCAAGAAAAACCGAAGCCATCAATAAAGAAGCCAAACATAAATTTTTCAATTGCACACTGCCTAAACTCCTCAAAACTGACCGTAAAAAATTCTGGCAAGTAGAAAACCCTAAAAACACTGATTCTCCGACCTTGCTAGACGGTGAGCATGGCGATTCTCCGTCAGCTGAAGAAACTGCGGAAATATTCAGCGATCAGTTTGCATCGGTATTTTCAAATGAGCTTCCATTAGATTCCCTCTACCTACCAGAGACCGTCATTCATGATATCTTCCTCCCAATATAAATCACTGAAAATGGCGTAGCACGTGCCCTTGAGCGACTTGAGTACAAGACGAGTCCAGGGCCTGATGGCATTAGCTCCAAACTTCTGAAATTAACCGCTCAAAAATCATTGTACCTATTGAAACTAATATTTCAGCAGTCACTGAACACAGGTTGCGTCCCAGATGATTGGAAGTCAGCATTAGTGGTACCTATATTCAAATCTGGGTTAAAATCATGTGCTAATAATTACCAGCCAATCTCTCTTGCTTCTATTCCGTGCAAAATACTCGAGCATATTCTGCTTACGCACATCGTATCTCACCTCAATAAAAATAACTTGCTAATAGACAACCAACATGGTTTCCGCAATAAACGCCCGTGCAAAACTCAGCTGTTCGAATTGTTAACTGTTCTTAATGATTCTCTGAATAACTCCCGCTACACTGACGCAATTTTTATAGATTTTGCTAAAGCATTTGACCGCGTGCAACACAAAAGGTTGGTGACTAAAATCTGTAATCTACAGCTAGACGATAAAACAACCCAGTGGATAAGCGGTTTTCTTACTAACAGAGTGCAGTCAGTTAAGCTGAACAACGTTATCTCTACTCCCAGACCCGTCAAATCCGGGGTACCCCAGGGATCCGTACTAGGCCCTCTGTTGTTTCTAGTCTATAATAATGATATCGAATCTAATATTACCTCTTCACTGCGCCTCTTTGCAAACGAATGCGTAATTTATAAGGAAATCACCGAACCAAACGACGTAAACATCTTGCAGTCTGACTTGACAAAATTATCAGCATGCTGCCATTTATGGCAAATGGAAATAAATGTAAACAAAACCAAACACGTACACTTTTCATCTGTTGCACATCCTTCGCCCAATGTGTATGTCATAAACAACTTGGTAATTCAGACAGTTCCATCTATTAAATATCTAGGTATTTTATTCCAGTTTGATATAACCTGGACTAGCCACGTAGAATACATTACCGCGAAAGCACTACGGAAACTTGGTCTTCTTAAGCGCCGCCTTAAACTTGCAAACAAAGACACCAAACTCTGTTATCCGGCCAACCCTAGAATATGCTTCCGTAGTATGGCACCTCCACACAGCAACCCTTACTGATACCCTCGAAACTGTCCAAAATAAAGCCGCGCGATTTATTTTGTCATGTTATTCCCGCTATGAAATTGTGTCATTCATTAAGAAAAAATTAAATCTCCCCCCTCTTGCCATGCGCAGGAAATATTTCCGCCTATCTTTCTTACACAAATTATACCACAGTGATTCGCCGTTCCGCCATACGCTCATTCACCCTGCTTAGTACATTTCCGCACGCGTTGACCATGATCATAAAATTGAACCTATATTTTCTCGCACAAAAAAAAAAACATCAATACTCACCCCTTGTCTTAGCGATATCCCGAGTGGAACGCTCTGCTTGCCAACATTGTAACGCATACACGTCAATAATCTTTTCAGTCTGCATTATTTGCGTTCCTTGAATGTGTTGGACAATATTAGGCATTGCTGCATAACGTGTCGTGCAGATCTTTCAATGCGCTCGCTTGTGAAAACCTTGCTGCGCTATTTCTTACTTATCTTGGTTGACGGACTGTGTAGCCTGCGCATGTTTTCTTGTTTTTTGTCTTGTTTTCTTGTTGAAAAATTGCTGTTGTCACTGATTACTGTATGAAACCCCCCTTATGTAATACCCTAGAGGCTTTTAAGGTAAATAAATAAATAAATAAATAAATAAATAAATAAATAAATAAATAAGTTATCACCGACAACTGCTGGCTGCAGGGCAAAAGTGTTGGTTCTTGGAGCCATGAAGGGAAATAGCTTGCGTTCACTTTTGGCCTCCAAGGGTCGAAAGCGGCTAAAATCAGTGGAAATTCACTCGCTAGTAGCCTCTATAAGCGGCCGGAAAACACCACCGCGAGGCCAGCGTGAAGATAACAGTACGAGACCGATTTTCCCGCCACGCCGAAAGCGGATCACCTTTGCGCTTCACGGCATTGGCAGTATTAGCTAAAACCACGTGATGTAAACAGCCGGCCGCCGATTCAACATGGCGGCAAAGGCGTCGGCGGTGGTTCGCATTGACTCAAATTGCAAACGACCCGCGCAGCACGACGAAGCCTCACGGCCTCGGCAAGGACACATTCATCGGGAGCCAGGTTTGAATAACGATTATTGAGGGCGCTAGAAGCCGACGGTGCATGCAGCGGCAGTAAGTCGGCACGCCCCAACGTGTCCCGCTTTTACAGAGCCGGATGAATCCACCGCCGCTTTCGGTGCGTTCGCTCATGACGTTTCTGTTGACGTATCTCCCGAAACAGCGTTGCAAAGGGTGCGAGCTTTTTTTTGTAGTTTCTGTAAATAACTTGAATTCGGTACAATATCCAGTGCTCTGAAAACACGCGAAATCAAATGAATTATCATAGTAGCAAAGGGGCAGAACGAATGCGAACATTTCCGGCGCGCGCTGACGTGCACAACCCTGTAGCCATGCATTAATATCAACTACAAATTACTTTTATCACACTGTACATATTAACGTAACGTAATGGGGCGTCGTGTTCTACACCAGCATGGGCAGAACAATCAAGCTAGAGGCACAGCGAATGCTAGGAGAGTTAGTACGTAAAATCCACCACGGTGCTTCAATAGTTATGTCACTCAACTGCTGACCCACAGGTCATGGCATAAAATCCCGGTCGTGAAGACCGCATTTACGATAGAGGCAAAAATGCTTGTGACCAGTGTACTTCTATTTAGGTGCACGCTAAAGAATCCCAGGCTGGTAATATTTCCGGAGCCCTCCACTACGGTAATAACATAAAAAAATATCGTGCCCCACCGTGGTGGTCTAGTGGCTAAGGTACTCGGCTGCTGACCCGCAGTTCGCGGGATCGAATCCCGGCTGCGGCGGCTGCATTTCCGATGGAGGCGGAAATGTTGTAGGCCCGTGTGCTCAGATTTGGGCGCACGTTAAAAAACCCCAGGTGGTTGAAATTTCCGGAGCCATCCACTACGGCGTCTCTCATAATCATATAGTGGTTTGGGGACGTTAAACACCACATAATCAATCAATCAATAAAAATATCGTGGTTTTGCGACGTTAGACTCCCATAATTATTAGGAGATAGTACGTAAGCATTCTTGACGCACATATGCACGGCAACATGGCCTTATTCATTCTTTGCCACTCGTCTCAATCGCATTTCACGTGCAACCCGAATGTGGTACAAGCGATGAATCCCTCTCGAACAGGCCTAAGCATCTTTGCGTTTACAGACATGCTACGAAGGATACATGCAGTAATACATCTAAAAAAGGGATAATGTCCGTTTTGTGGGTGACTGGTGTCAGCCTACAAAAAGAAATTATTCTAAGTCATCAGCACAGGCCTCCCGTTAAAGTTACTAAAATTTGCTAAAACTGTTTTAATAAACAAAACATAGCCTTCTTCAATATCGTGTTGTGGCGATCATACCGATAGAAAGATTGAAAATTTTTAAATGTATACTATTTTTGACATAGTCTTTCTTTGTTATTCCTAGGCATGAGGGTCGTCTACAATTTCAATTTTCCTAGCCACCATCGTGTTGTCTCGTTGAAGATATTGTGTGCGAACTGCAGCGTGCCCGAGTATGAAGAGGTCAAGGGAGAAAACATGTACCGCATTGTGACGACCGCATTTATCGCAAATGGTGGTGACGGATTCCACTTCAACGAAACCGCCAAAAAGCACACAGAAGGTAATCTCAGATTTATTGAACCATTCGGTGACCTTTTTACGTGTTTCAAGTCTTGAAAGTGAATGATGCTTTCTGTAAGCGCGTGTCATACCCTTGTCACACGTGGTAACTTAAGTAAACTTTCAGCGAATACTCTGAGCGGCGAGTGTCATTTGCGCGTGGTCACACGAGCGAGTTTAGTCTCATACCCCTGTCACACGCGGCAACCTAAGTGCACTTTGAGCGAGTGTACATACGCTCACAAAGTGTCATTTTGGCGGCTCGCTGCTACACGAGAAAGCGAAGTGTACTTTGGAAATGGCGGCAGTGGCGATTGACGTATTTGTAGCACAACGAATATTTGTTATTTTTGCGCCTGTGTCTCATCTTCAGACAACGTTGTATTCGTGGAAGTAGCACCTGTGCCACATGCCATCTTAAATGAGAAGAGAACAACTCACCTAAACATGTGCAAGTGTACGTGAAAGTAAACAACGCGACGGACGCAGCCATTGCTGTGCATGTGCTGCCGCATCCCCCTAGCGAACGTGGCCGCAAACAGCCCGGTGGTGAAAGTAGCAAGGTTATTGTTGTATTTTATGACTTGTTTCATACATAACAATATCTATCATAACAAAAAGAATGGTTTAAATATAATATGAGCGTCTTTCTGTACAAGCCACTGGTACAGATGCTACATACTTCATCGCAGCAGTCGCAGTGAAGTGAGGTTGGGGAATGCACAGGCCCGCAAGTGTACTTGGCAGCGAGTGACACTAACCTTTCTCGTGTGACAGCACGCAATGACACTCGTGGCTAAGTGCACTCGCTCAAAAGGCACTTAAGTTGCTACGTGTGACAGGGCTATCACTCACTGCAAAGTACACTTGCCGGCAGGTGCGCTCCCCAAACTCGCTTCGCTGAAACGACGTGTGTAGCTTTGGTACCAGTGGCTTGCACAGAAATACGCCGTTGCCTAAAGTGCCACTCGCACTAACTTTAGACTATTGTTTATGGTTGATTTCAGTAGACATGGTTGAGAATATGGTTGATTTCAGTAGACAAGAACACAGCAGAGTGTGTCAAAGAACGCATGTGTGTTTCGGACATCTTCACAAAAATCACGAAGAAAAAATGACCACGGGCAAGGTATGTAGCCCATAGGCATAACCACTGCTCATTAGGAGTAACTGATTGCATTCAAGGAAAAGGCGAGCGCGTAAAAGGAAGACAGTAAGTTACGTGGGCAGACAGATTATAGATTTTACGGGTATAACGTGTCATCAGCAAGTACACAATCGGGTTTAATGGCAAAATATCAGAGAGACCTCTGCCCTGCAGTGGAAGTATTTAGGCTGATGAGAATAATTATGATGATGCATGTACCTAGCTATTCGTTTCTCTTTCAGGCATCAGCGCATTCGATGTGTTTGAACAGTACTTCATCAAGATGTCGCCTATCAAGACACCTGTGGAGGGCCGAGTCACTGTAAAGCACCTTCCACCGAAAGGAAACGTACACGCAAGAGCACCTCGTATTTCATATTTAAGAAATCCATTTCCACTGGTTAGACTTCAATAAATGAATGAATGAATATAAACTGAACACCCGAGCATCATGCGTGAGGAGAAAGCGTTCCACAGAAATACCGCCACAGACATATACCTACAATTTACATGTGTCGTCGCATTAAATAGTGTTACGGGGAATAAAGTATATACTGGCGAGCGAATGCGTACTGGCGAATATACTGGCGAGAAAATGCGTACAACGCTGCTGCAGTCCGAGCACGTTCACGTTCAGCACTTCGTCGTCGCCATCCTCAGGCATCTACTTAGCCCGTGACATTACCCACCGGTGGCAGGAGCACCATCCCAGTGCGATCAATTCTCGAGGCGTGAGTAGTATTGTTTAAGCCGTGAGACGTGCACTATATCGGTCGGGACTGAAGCTGGTACTGACGTGGTATGGAGTGGAGCTATCTCATAGGTCACGCTGGTGACCTTGCGTATGACGCGGTAGAGGCCAACGTAACGGGACATCAGTTTTTCGCAGAGACCAACACGACGTGATTGTAACCACAGCAAGACGAGCGACCCCGGAGAGTACTGTACGTCGCGGTGCCGGCGATCGTAAGCACTCTTTTGGTTAAGCTGCGAGGCACATAAACGATCCCGGGCGACTTGGCGGGCGATGTCAGCTCGGGCGAGGGCATCACGAGCATAAGCAGTCGATGAGGGGGCGTCAGATTGGAGCATGGTGTCCATGGGCAAAGGCGGGTCATAACCAAACAGTAGGTAAAAAGGTGAAAATCCAGCTGTATCATGACGTGAACTGTTGTATGTGAAGGTAACGAAAGGTAAGTGGATGTCCCAATCTTTGTGATCCTTGGAGACGTACATCGCTAACATATTCGTCAGGGTACGGTTGAGGCGTTTCGTGAGGCCGTTGGTTTGCGGATGGTACACTGTAGTGAACTTGTGGTGGGTAGGGCAGGATCGCAGGAGCTCGTCGACTACTTTAGATAGAAAACAGCTGCCGCGGTCCGTGATCAACTGACGAGGAGCACCATGACGCAGAATGATGTCATGAAGAAGGAAATCGGCTACATCAGTAGCGCAGCTGGGGGGGAGGGCGCGTGTAACGGCATACCGCGTTGCGTAGTCGGTAGCAATAGCAATCTACTTATTACCGGTGGCCGACGCGGAAAAAGGTCCTAGAAGATCGAGGACGACTCGGAAAAATGGCTCGTCTGGTACTTCAATGGGCTGGAGGGTACCAGCAGGTCTCAGAGCAGGTGTCTTGCGGCGCTGGCAGAGGTCGCATGCCGCAACGTACTGTCGCACAGAACGGTAGAGGCCAGGCCAAAAGAATCGGCGGCGAATGCGGTCATACGTGCGTGACACCCCTAGGTGTCCAGCGGAGGGGGCATCATGGAGCTGGGCCAAAACAAACGTTTGAGCGAAGATGCACAGGAACAACGAGTAAAAGCTCAGCACCATCAGGGCGGGCGTTGTAGCGGTGCAAGATGTCGTTGTGAAGAACGAACAGTTGTAAGGAGTGGTCAGGGTGGGGAGAGTGCAGACCAATGATAATAGCATGCAAAGAGGGGTCACGGCGTTGTTCAGCAGCTATGACGGTGAAGTCGGTAATTGAAAGAACGAGGGCCTCTTGTTCATCTTCCCTCGTATCAGGGGGATCGACTGGGTAACTGGACAAGCAGTCGGCATCCTTGTGAAGTTGTGCGGATGTATAAGATACGGAAAAAGTGTACTCTTGTAAGCGCAGCGCCCAGCGACCAAGGCGTCCCGTAGGGTCCTTGAGTGAGGAGAGCCAGCAAAGCGCATGGCGGTCCGTAATAACTGAGAATGGTCGGCCATAGAGGTATGGTCGGAATTTCGCAATGGCCCAGACGAGAGCTAAGCACTCGCGTTCTGTGATGGAATAATTTTGTTCCGAGTGCGACAACAGTCGGCTTGCATACGCGATGACGCGGTGCATGCCTTGTTGCCGCTGCGCCAGCACTGAGCCTTTGCCGTGGCCACTGCCGTCAGTACGAAGCTCCGTGGCGGCAGATGGGTCGAAGTGTGCTAGGACTGGTGGATTGGTGAGAATTTCAACGAGCGACGAGAAGGCGTTTGCTTGCTGTTGGCCCCAGGTGAATGCGACATCCGTTCTGAGGAGGCAGGTTAGAGGACGGGCTACTTCAGCAAACTTCTCGACAAAACGACGGAAATAGGAGCACAGTCCCAGAAAACTTCGGACGTCCTTGGCTGAGCGGGGTGCGGGGAAGTCGCGAACTGCTCGGACTTTCGCAGGGTCTGGTTGAACGCCCGCAGCGTTAACAAGATGGCCGAGTACGCAGATTTGGCGTTGCCCAAAGCGGCATTTAGACGAGTTAAGTTGCAAGTTGGCACGTCAGAAAACATCAAGCACTGTGAACAGACGTGTAAGATGGTCGTCGAAAGTAGTCGAAAAAAAATTACGGCATATTCACGGGGTGAATGATGATGAATTGGTAAAGCTCCGGAGGAATTCATCAGTAAACTGTGAATCTTCCGTGTAATTCGCCCAGTCGATCATCATGTAAAGATGTGAGAAACGCTGTGTGTGTATATACACAAATCAACTTTTATTTGTTGTTAGACGATGGATGGCTTGCGATGTCCCTTGCCTCGCGCGCTCGCAGATCGGGATTCTGTCTGCGAGCGCGCGCTGCTGCCGCCTTGCGCTCTCTCCGCTGTGCAGCCTTATCCATCCGGCGACTCCGAGCGCGCGCCAACAGCGGACGGATTTTATTACAACGCTCCCCCTAGCGTACGTCGCCGCACTAAATCGAACGATTGCCTTCAACCAATGACACGCGCCATATGTGACATCATTCCTATTTTATAAGATCTCGCGTCTTTCATCAACTACAAGTACCGCTTTCTAGTTTATAACATCTTGCATCTTTTCATCATCAGCTACAAGTACCACCATCTAGTAAACACTACAAGAACTAAACGAGAGGTGGCTACATACAGGAGACGGTACCGCCATCTAGTGAACACTGCAAGAACTAAACTAGAGATGGCTACATACAGGGGACGGTACCGCCATCTAGTGAACACTGCAAGAACTAAACTAGAGGTGGCTACATACATGCTACAGGGGACGCACAGCCGACGCCCTAAGGAGCTTCGCCCCTAAAACAATAACGTCGTCAAGATAGCAGAGGCAGATGGTCCACTTCATGCCTCAAAGGAGAGAGTCCATCATGCGCTCAAAAGTTGCGGGGGCGTTGCATAATCCAAAAGGCATCATCTTGAACTGGTAAAGTCCATCAGGAGTCACGAAGGCCGTCTTCTCTCTGTCTTTGTGGTCCACAGCGATCTTCCAGTAGCCTGAGCGAAGTAGCCTGAGCGAGAAATATTTGGCACCATGCAAGCAATCGAGTGCATCATCTATGCGTGGTAGGGGATAGGCATCTTTCTTGGCAATATGGTTGAGATGGCGGTAATCAACACAGAATCTCCAGCTATTGTTCTTCTTTTTAACAAGTACAACGGGCGAGGACCAGGGACTAGATGAGGGTTCGATTATGCCCTTACGAAGCATTTTATCGACTTCTCGCTGTATAATAGCACGCTCCGGGGCTGACACACGGTAGGGTCGTCGGCGAATGGGTCGAGCGTCACCGGTGTCAATGCGATGGGTTACCACGGATGTCTGGCCCAAATTACGGTCGCCGAAGTCAAAGATGTCCTGATAAGAAGCAAGCACACGGCAGAAAGCAGAGACTTGTTCAGAGGTGAGCTTGTCAGATAGCATTGGCTTGAAAAGGTCGGAACAGGAACGTTATGAGAGCGACGTTGATGAAAAATCGAGTGGCGAATTGGTGGTTAGGGCGGAAACTGTGTGGTCGACCAGTGTTGTCAGATGCGCAAGTGACATGCCACGAGGAATAACTTGCGCTGAAAAGCCAAAATTGAGGACGGGAAATGAAGTTCGGTTGTTCTTAACGGTAACAACCGTGTTGGGGAGTGCAACATTACGTGTCATGGCCACGTCAGAAATTGGGGCAGCAACATAATCACCATCGGGTACTGGAGGATATGGCGAGAGTTGGACTTGGACTGCGGCTTGCGGCGGAAGTCTGAGGAAATCGACAGAGCGTAGACGAGGTGGGCTGGCAGAGATTGTCTCCGAGAAGGATGGTAGTTCGAGCCGAAGAAGACCGTTGGAACAGTCAACGAGCGCAGCGTGTGAAATCAGAAAGTCGAGTCCAAGGATGAGGTCATGAGGGCAATTTTCCAGTACAGCGAACAGAACTGAAGTTTGATGCTCAGAAATTGTTAGTCGCGCAGTGCACATTCCAAGCACAACAGGAGTACTCCCATCCGCTGTACGAACGGTAGGTGCAATCGCAGGCGTCAGAACTTTTTGGGGGCGGCGGCGGAGGTCTGAGCTCATCACAGATATTTGTGCACCGGTATCAAAAAGAGCTGTTACAGGTAAACCATCAACGAGAATTGTAAGAAGGTTGCACCGCTGGTCGGGAGTATTCAGAGGATTTGCAGTCTGAGTCGTGTATGCAGCGTCACCTCCGAGGGCTGCACCGGCTAGTTTTCCGAGCGACGGTCGTAGGGAGACCAAGAACGACGGGGTTGGGGCGAGCGGGACTGACGACGCACGGGCGATGGCGAGCGGCTGGTCCGACGTTCTGGATTGTGCTCTGCACCTGTCTCAGCACGGTAGGACGGGGCATAAGGTGCACGTTCGGAGTGAGGCCCCCAATCATAGAAGCTCGGTCGAGGTGATGAGGTCCAACGGCTGCGGCAATGGCGAGCGATGTGTCCTATCCGATGGCACGTGAAACATATGGGCTGATCATCATGAGTGCGCCATTCAGCTGGCTTTCGTCGTGGCGCGAACGTGCGGTTCGGAGTGGCAGCCGCGACGACTGGAGCCGAGCTGGAAGTGGCAGGGGCATTTTGATGAGGTGGCGAATTGCCCATATTCGCGATCTCTTGGCGAACCACGGCCTGTATTATTGAAACAGCATCGAGGTTGTGTCCTGGCGCGCTGACGCTAGACGTAGCGGGAGCCATAGCCTCGAGTTCCCGACGGACTATTCTGGTGATGTTTTCCGGCGCTGGTGGTTGATGTAGTGTGGGCAAATCTTCGCAAGAGGACGTAGCCGCCGTGTTGGGAAGGCGGTCAAATCGGTGAACTATGCGCCT